CTTAATTATTCACAACTTCATCGAATCCCGCTTTATTCTTTTTTCAAATTCCATTTTTCTCAGTCTCCCTAACCACAAAATAAAAGAAAATAATTTTTTATCAAAACACATCGCACTTTCAATCCTTTAAAACAGTGGTTTGCAGATTTGCAGATCTTCCTCCCCTTGCGGTCCCAGTTTTTCTCAATACCTCCCCATTTTCAATAGTCATATAGTCATTTTTTTCCCTATTATACTTCTGACTAAAATTCCTTCTCTGGTTAAAATTCTTACCCATTTAGATTTTAAATTCCCAAAGTGTTTCCGTTTGGATTTCCCTGCTTTAAAACAGAAAGAAATATCTAAAACATTTTTAAAAGCTTTTGCTAGAATTTTTTTTTTTTTCTATTTTTCTTTTTATGTCAAAAACCGCTTTTAAAAAAAAATGACTAAACGATGATTTTTTTTTTTTTTTTTTTTGACAAAAAGGAATCATATGTCCTTAAAACTTTACCCCCTTTTTTAACTTGGGGATGTTTTGATTTGCTTCCACTTCATTCATTATTTCTCTAATATCTTCCCATTTTTATATCAAATCGCCTTGTCTTGGGCCTGCGTGCTTGCAGAGGGAGTTGCTTATTTTTTTATTAACACCAGAGTTCGCGGTTCGAACCCAGGTAAAAGCTAAGATTTTGACTGCTGATTTTCAAGGCCCCACCATTTGGAAGAGTGTCACAATACATCTTCCTTTCTCTGGATTAAACTCAGGATACTAACAATCCAGATAAAAACCCAGAATTTTTACTGCTGATTTTCAAGGTAGGCATGGCCTCAATTTTTTTTGTGGGGATAGGTGCAAAACTTCAACAGATTCGTTTTCTAATGTACGAATATATTTTTACTGAATATCTAGAACAGGCTTTGTGACAGAGATAATGGTGAGTTCCCCATCAGCGCTAAGGTCAGCGTTCGAGCCTAAATAAAAGGCCAAGATGTTGATGTTCACAGCAGAGATAAGCTCGAAACATTTCCTTTTAAAGACATATCCCTTCCTGATATAAACAATCATGGCTCTCCACAGATTCCCTTTCTTTGTTATCTTTAAATTACCATAAACTCTTGGGAAAGATAGTGGAGTAATTTCCAGTTGTCCGTCTCTTACACTGGCTGCCATCCAAAGCTAGAGAGCCCTGTCTGTCCATAACGAGAGGGGAAAAGAGATAGGTTCATGTCTTTCCCCAGGGATTTAGTGTGAAAGTGGATGTAGGAGGCATGGCGATAATTTGAACTCGGCTGGTTAACTTTATTTCTCACACCGATGACCGTTCAATTTCACAAACAGTCGTTACCTTTTCCAAAACCGATTGAAGGTTTTTTCGAGCACTTATAATAGATCAGCCCTCCCTTAAATTTTCTCTATCACTTGTAGTTTCCTGATACCCACATCTGTCTACTCTCTGAGAGTTTTCTTCCATTTCTTTAGATTTTCTTTCTTCTTAGCCCCAAGATACGGTGCTCTTTCAAGGGAGTTTTTATAGGTCTGTCGGATCAAGTAATATGCCATTTCCGCTTTTTCATGATGGTTAGGGCCTTATAATTGGGTCCGATGGTTTAACTGAGCTTCTTAAAGAGTTCTGCATTGTCAATATTGGAAAAAATCTGATTTTTATGGCTTCTTCTATGTTTCTGAGATTTCAAGCATAAAAATACAGATGTGATTAGTTAACATAAAGTCTCATGATGATATAACTATCACCGTTTTCCTTTGATAGAGATAGACAAGATATATGTTGCGAGGGATAAATTGTCGTCTAAATTACGCAAAAAAACAAAAACAAAAAATTTAAACAGCACTAACATCTCATTTTAACAGATATATTTACCAAGAATGCAAAAAAATATATCTTGAAATACTAAAGAGTAAACCACGGCCTCCAGACGACATAGGAATCTCCTGCAACTCTTCTGGACGGTCTCTTTGTTTAAGTTGGTGAATGCTGCCATAATCCTTACCTTCAGTACATCTTTGGTGTTACAAGGAGTTTTGCTGGTCTCTCGCTCAACTTCACCCCACAAATAATAATCGAGGAAGTTGCAGTTTTGAGGATTTAGCTGGCCAGATGTAAAGGGCATTGTGGTCGTATAAATTATCTGATAGCCATGACGGGGTTCTCCTGCTTGTGTTCCATGGTGCACAGTCCTCTTACCAGGCATAGGGTATTCCAGAAGCCACTCTTTCAACCCAGGACAGCACTATCTCCCCAAGGCGCTTGATGTGGACCTCCGTATTGAGTCTGAGGGCCCGTGGGAAGATGAATAGAAACATAACGTCACCATCACATGTAATCACACCAAACACAAATTCCACAGGTTTACAGTCCTATCCTGTTGAAAGACCGGTTCTCGTACTGCTAACGTAGCTAAGCAACGTTGACCCTGGTCAGTAACTAAATGGGTGATCGCTTAGTGCGGTAAGCGTTGACGTGCGCGTGGTGTAATGATAATAACCTGAAAAAGATTG